GGGATTGTTGGGGTGTCCTGATGATCCCTGGGGGTCCCTTCCCGCTCAGGATATTCCAGGATTCTACAGAAATCCTGCTGCATTGTTGCTGTGGATGTTTCTGTGTTTGTAGGTGACAAATGAAGCCTCAACTCCTTAAATGAAGAGGGGCAGGGGGTGGAGAAGAACAAAAGCAAACCCTGGGGAACATGTCCAGAACTCTTGGACAGTGCTCTGAGGGACAGGGGGGGATTGTTGGGGTGTCCTGGGCAGGACCAGGAGTTGGACTGGATGATCCTTGTAGTCCCTTCCAACTCAGCATATTCTGTGATTGGAAAAGCCCTCCAGGATCATCAGGTCCAACCCTCCCCCAGCACTGCCAAGGCCACCACTAACCCCTGTCCTCAAGTGTCACCTCCACACGTCTGTTAAATCCCTCCAGGAGTGGGGACTCCCTGGGCAGCCTGTGCCAATGCCTGCCCACCCTTTCCATGAAGAAATTCCCCCTGATCCCCAACCTAAACCTCCCCTGGCACAGCTTGAGGTCATTTCCTCTCATCCTCTCGCTTGTTACCTGGGAGAAAATCCCACCCCCCATCCATGGAACACCCAGGGAAGGTCACCTGGGGATGCTAGTTCTCCTGCCTGGGTCTCAGCTGAAGCTGAGCCAGATGAGCCGAGCCAAGGCAGGAATTCATCCCTTTCCTCCCACTCCTTCAGCTCTCCTTGGCTCCCACCATAACTGAACCTTGGGATGAGCCCAGGCAGCGGGAGGCCTGGAGGAGTCCCAGAGGTGTAGATCCATCTCTCTGCATCTGGAGGAGGCCCAGAGATGTAGATACATCTCTCTGCATCTCTTTTTTCACCCCTAACTCTGAGCAGGGCAGAGCTGGCACCTCCTGTGTGTCCCATCCTTCCCGGCGGGAAGGGAGCCCGCGGTGCCAACTGTACCAAGCGCCCCAAAAAGCTGCTGCCAGACACCCTGGCGAGCTGTGTGTCCTCACCTGCTGCGGGGTGAAGGGTGTTCAAGCCCTCCCCACCCCGTGTGCCCCGTTCCCACCACACCCACCCGCTCGGCTCCCCGCGGATCCGTCCCCATCCCGGGATTCAGGCCCCTCAGGAGAAGCCCTGAGGCAGCTGTTTTGTTTCAGACGAGTACCGCAGGCTCTGCATCGAGGGACTCCCGGTCGTGCCAGGCTTCCCTGGGAACTTTCCAGGAATCCCTGGATTCGGGCCCAACGGCGTCGGGCCGGGACTCAACGGGCCCGGCGGCATCGGACCAAACGGGGCGAACGGACAAGGCGGGATCCCAGGGCTGCCTGGAATGGGCCCAGGAAGCTCGAGCATTGGTAATTAAACTCCTTTCTCCTCGTGCTGACCCCTCTTTAGGCTGCCTGGCTGGGAGCAGAGCGTGTTCCTTCGGGCTGGAATGCTGGAATGCTGCTCCCGGCACACCCGCGTTCTTCGACAGCTCCACGGTGTGTCCCGACCCTGAAGGGGGGAGTGGTGGGATGTGACAGGAACACTGTGCAGGACACTGAGCCCACAAACACATCAAACAGTGTCTGCTGGCACGGCAGCACGGCCGGGGTCGGCTCCAGTCTGGAATCTCTCCCCAATCACCCAAAAGGAACGAAGCCTTTCAAACAATTACCGGACGGGAACAAAGCTTTCACGTCACCACCTCACCCTCTGCCTCCCCAAAACAAAACTGCTCCCCCACCAGCTTGGACCCCCCCTGTGCTGTGCACCCCGATGCAGCTCCTTGCTGAGGGCTGAAGCTTGTGGCCCCAAATACTGACCCCCACCTTGTTTTGGAGGGGCTTGGAATTGATTCCCATCCGATCCCAGTCAGGTGGGATTGATTCCCATCTGATTTCAGAGAGGCTGGGATGGATTCCCACCTTGTCTCAGAGAGGCTGAGCCCCCCTCGTGCCTGGTGGTGTTTTTGTCAAAGCTGAGCCCCCTCGTGCCTGGTGGT